TCTCCAGCCCCTCTGCCATCCCAGGAAGTCATACTATAGATTGCTGATGATTACTGTTGTGTCCACACGCTTTGAACAACACGAGCTTTCGGAACTGGCTCGAGGCAAGGGCAATTCTAGGACCCTCTAAGACATGCGCACAATGCACAGTTCGACTGGCTGTCTGTTCCTTCTTGCTCCTCTTGCCAGATCATCAGAAGCCGTTACATTGCCACCTGTTGCTGCTTGTACTGCAGCCACTGTCCCTGAAACATCATGGAATCCATGGCTCTCCCTCCCCCGCAGGCTTGCTTGAGCAGCCAGAAACAAGGCCTTAAAAGCATGATCCACATACTTGCTGTCTGGAGTCTCAGCATGATCACTGAACCGAAAATCAAGAGGGGTGACACTTCGTATTGGGCGCGGCATGTCAGCGGAAGTCAAGCACGGCAACTTCTGAGACAGGTGCAGAAGACAAGGACTTCTTTTCATCGTGCCGACACGCCCGATACGGAAGCCAGCTGCGCTAACCGCGACCGCAGTGGCTGAGATGCGCGTTGCGATGAGTTAGGAACGCCCAAATACCGTGGGCATTCGAAGTGTTCGAAGCAACCCACGCAGCCTTTTTCAAAAAGCACAAATACAAACGTGGCTCAGGGCCTCTGGTCGGGAAGGCAGGACTGCTTTTCAAACAGCTCCAACACCATTCACACCATCAGAATCATTCTGCCGTAGATTGTACGCCTTTGCAAGGGTCTGTTATTCGTTTTTGCGAATACAGTGCATACAGATGAACCCGCATGCGTACCACAAACGGGAGCAACCATCTGGGGTACAGACTTTGATGTGTCGGGCCTGGCTAGAACAGGGCGGCTGTGTGCAAGTTAAAATCAAGAAAAGGATGTCAGTAAGTGCCAGGCATAGGACATCATAAACTCATCCTCCTTCACAAATTCAGCAACAAAGAATGCTTGTCTCCATGCATCAACTACAAAACCAAGCCGTGTGTTCTTCGACCTTACCTGACTCCCTGATCTCAATAGCGCCGGCTGGAAGCTGGAACGTCAGTAAGCCTTCTGTCAAACCACCATCAAGCCTAATGCCTAACCACAACGAACATCATAACCTTGCGAGTTAAGTTGCAGGTGCACCGTTTTCCTGCTCACTCTCTACTGGCCCTCTTCTACTGCTGAGTCCCCATCCTCCGCTTTAGCGCGGGAGGGTGAAGCAGGACTGCTTCTGTTCGCCTGGCAGTCTTGCAAAACGGTTGCAAACAGCCCTCTCTAGCTGCGAGTCTCGATTCGTCTCGATCAGTCCCAAGTACAGACATGTTGCCTCAGAAGTACGACCCGCCCGAGAGCCATTGGCCTGAAGTTTCAGAAATCACCTTTGTTTCTACTAGCTGCACGCCATGCTTTGAATCAGAGTGATGCCTTGCGGGTGGCGGCAAAGGCCGCCCTCGCGGCTGGGTAGCCCGCAAGGCGAATCTGCCGAAGCCTCGCCCCCAGCGCATGATTTGCTACTGCGGGCCAAATAGAACACATCCACCACGGAAGGCTACTATCGTTGCAGATGTACACCGACTTCCCACCCCCTTCAATGCGAAAAACGGCATGTATGCGGCCGTAAAGTCGTGCTGCTAACGTTGGTGACTTTCGCTTTCTTTGGGCTACGCCTCGCCGGGTCTCAAAACAGGGCGCTCTTCAAGCAAAAGTGTCCATGCATGTGTCATACATGCTCCACAACCCTCCCCCCCCTCCCCCCCCACACACAAATCTGAGTCGGAAGCAACTCTTGGTTGCTGCCCTGCCAGCGCACACCTGTGGAGAGCTGTGGAGAGCATGCGGGTCTTCTGCAAGTGAGCAAACCTTTCACCTCGTGAAACGTCGCGGAAAGACCGGCCTGAGTCCCTCGACACAGATCGTTCGGGGCTCTCCTGACGCAAAGTCACAATCACAGCTGCGAGATGTTGTCAGGATAAGCCATAAACTGATGCCGAATCTGCGTGAAATCGTCCTCGAGCGGCCGGCTTCGGGCCGTCTCGGGTGCCTTGCCCGATCGAAACAGACCAAAGTAGCGACTTGCTCTGATCCATCTCTCGAGTGGTCCGTTGCCCCACCCCCCCACCCCCCCCCGCCACGCATCATTCCCTGACATCTCGGACCGTAAGGCTCAAACTACATTAAACTTTGAAAGATACTACAAACAAAACCAGCTTTCGTGATGATTCCCCTGACAACCTCAGCCTGAACCTGAGCAAGAGTTGTTTTCTGTCCCACGCAGCCCGCCTCCTGGATCACATCATCCCCGGACTCCTGAGCCGACAGCGGCCCAAACACCATCAGACTCAGGGACGAAAGCAGGGACCCTTACAAGGGACCTTAGGGGTTCTTTGGGGCTCAGGGGCTACTTCTTAGCTTCTTAGGGGCTTGCATTTGTTAATTTGCCTGCGCCAAATGGGAGTCGCTGAGGGAGAGCTCGCCCGATTTCGTCATGCCATTTCGCAGAACCTTATCCGAAAATCACGTGCAGCAGCACATCAGGATCCCTGTTGATGTAGATGATGCTGCATTTATACTCTTCCAGCTGAAGGCCCGTGCTGATGCCAAGTCTCCCATCCCCTGCAGACTGACACCTCGGCTGCAGAGATGCACCTGCGTCTGCATGCAGCGTCAGAACTGTCAGAACCGAAACCCATCGAAATATCCCCCAAGGCCCCTGAGGCTGCAGCAGCTGGACGTGGATGACACGGGCCGCCCTGGCGATCCCAGAATATCCGGAATGCAGGGAAGCAATCCTGGTGACCTAGTGACTTAGTCAGCACAAGAGACCTAGAGCATTGCACTGCTGGAAGCTGCTCTCTCCACTCGGCACCCAATGGCACAGGGCATATTCAGGTGGGCCCTGTCTCTCCGACTGTCTCGGTACTTTGCGAATTTGGCGGTCTATTTCTTCCAGCCCACCTCTGCGTGAACTCAAAGGTCTCCGTTCCTGGAGTAGCGAAAAGGCAACTACAAGTAGGAAGAAATCCATCGTTCAAACTACGATGAAAGCAGTCCCGAGAACACCTGCACGCGGTTCCACGTTCTCAGCAATCTGTCATAATTAGGATGTGAGAGTAGACGCTAAACTGACCAGCGCGATTCATTGTGTCATGTGCTGCTTGCTTGTGCTTTTCCTGTTGTGCTGAGGCGCTCAGCACCTTCGTCATCACCTCAGCCCTGGTTCGCTGCTTAAGGCGCGCGGCTGAGTCTGTGGAGTATGCGAAAGCACAAAGTATGCGAAAGCACAAAGTGTGAGAGAGTGGAGGGACGGAGGTAGAGGAAATTTGGAATCACACCTTTTTCAAAGGCTCCGGCAACAACTCGCTTGAGCTCCTCTCGCTCACTGAGAAGCATAGAGACCTTCGAAGGCACAATGCAACAATGCAACAGCCAGGGCCCCAAAAGTGCAACCTGAAACCTGGAACACCCAAAACAAGAACAAAGCAAATCATCGCCCGGAACATCACTGAACTTCGCTCACCTCTGCACCTGGTTGGCCTTGAAACCTCAAGAATCTCAGGCTTGAAACAGCCTGCACCCCAACTTTGAACCCCAAGCCCTAGAAGCACACAAATACAACTTGAGGAATCCGAAACCCCAATACATCTTAAATTTTTGGACCTTTTGAACCATAAGCCTCCAACCAACTTCGTAAGGCCTGGCGAAACAAATATTCTACCCAACCACAAAAACACCCACGGGGTGCTCTGTGGATCAATCTTGTTGAGCTTTGGTGCCGAGTTTGGGCTACGTATGTCTGCTTTCCTTCCCTACTTTGACTTTTAGATGACCATGGTGCTGCTTTTGTGTGCTGCCTGAGTCTGCGCTAGTGATGCTGCCAAGCGTAGGCTCGACAGCTAACCAGGCTAGGCTAGTCGGGGCACGCGACAACGCATGTTGCAAAAATGTTACTCGTGGTGGTGAGGTGCTCCTTGCATTCGACAGTGCTTCAGCTTGAGTCAGAAGGTCTGACGGAAATTCAATGTGTTTGGAACCTCATCAACACCCATACCCCTCCCTGAATCGTGAAGGCATCAGTCTGAGGCCTGCTTCAGCAGATTCTTCTGAATCATGTTCAACCTGCACATTCTTGACTTCCAAAATACAGGGGGCTGTCTAAAAGAGAGTTGCTAGCTACTAGCCAAAAAGGAGTGGTTCCAAGATTGCCCGAGCATCCTGAAACATTGGATCTGGTGTCACAATGAGCATTCACAATTACTTGACAAGCACGTGGCGCTCACTTCTCAGAGCACAATCGAATAGCAGACTCCAGCTGACAGGGAATCGGAAGAATCAAAAGATGTGCCAAAGGCACTGCTTCAAGCGCTCGCGAAGGCGATGGTTCTCGGCCCGCGCCCTGTCACGCTCCTGCCAGGACAAATGATGGATGTCAACAGAACCTTAGGGCCTTAGGTACCACAAACTGGAAACACATGCTCCACTTCAAGCCTGAAGTCTGAACTAGCCTCCAAGGCCAGGCAGAAAGCAAGAAAGGCAAGAAACGCAAGAAGCCAAGAAAGGCAAGAGATGAAAGGCAGTGGGCTGCAGGAGAACGTTGGGGAGGCGTCAAGACGGAGGCTCAGTGAGCTCAGGACAACCTTCACTTGACTTCACATTTGCTTCTTTCTAGATTGCTTTATGGGCTGCAGGCAATGAGCATGTCTGGCAAACAGCCAATCACAGCAGGACATTGCTACATGGCTACGGTATGCGAAGGTTCAAGCGCTTTTTTTTGGCGTTGCCATGCTGAAGGTTGACTAGTTTTGACAAGTTGGTGAGACCTAATGCCCTATGCATGTACGAGCTCCATGTGAAATTCCGTTGACCTCAGCCACTCACTGCTGAGCTGCGCTGCTCTTGGCCCATGCGTCGGCTGGGATGTCGTGCACTTTGACGACGCTCCCCCAAGCTGGGCTGAGATAAAACCTGAGCCTCTGAGCCTGACTTCTTTGGGCTTTCGCCAAAAGAGTTCAGGATCTAGCGTGCCCGACTTCCTGCGCAGCAGCCCTGCTCTATCAGAGGTGAGCTGTCCGGCAAGAGATCGGCCAAGTCGATCTCTTCAGCAGCTTCACTGCGCTCAGCTACATACCGTCGCCACCGCCGCACTCCGTAGCAGACAACCGCAGCAAGCAGCAGAAGCAAGATGCCCGTCGTGAATGGACTAAAGAGCCCTTTGCTACGAAACTGCATGCTCACCAAAAAGCTCACGAACAAGGGATCGGCCATTGGAACGGAGTTGACATCGGCAAACCCAGTCACTCCTCGCGAATGAATGCTGCCTTTCCAGCTGGTAACCCAGAAATTCTGGCTGGGATCTTTCTCTACTTCCAGGACGAGATTGTCACCAGTGTCCCGGACCATCATGACTTGATCCCGCTTCTCCGCAATTCCACCCAGGTGTATCATCAAGTTAGGCAGCTCACTGGTTCGCCCAATGTAGCTGCCGTCTGCGTGCGTAAACCTGTATGCAAGAACTTGTCGGCCAGGATCCTGGAAGCTGTCCATCGTTTCCGCGGTGCCTTTGTAGACCACTTCACCTGCCGGAGAGGTCAGCATGCGGCTAACGGCATGTCAAGCAAAAAGCTTCCCGCAACAAAATAACACACAGTAATCATGAGTAGTCCACCGCCCAGCTCTGTGGCGTCGCCCAGAGGACGTGCTTGACTACTTGACCTGGATATGACACACTCGGACCCACTTCTGACCTTTTGCATTCCCATCCTTAAATTCTTGCTGTGTGTAACCCTTGAATGCGCATCTTGTACAGAGTGATGCGCCTGCTGCCGGATTGCTCCCCAGCGCTTTGAATCAAACAGTGTCAATGTGTCGCGACCCGTGCTCAGTCAGCAGGCACCCTTGGAGAATTACAAGTAGGAGAGCATCGATACGTGCAGGACACTCATTCGTGGTTTGATCCGAAACTTAACCACTCATCCCCATGCAACACTGGCAGCCACCAGAGGCCGTGCTGATTTGAAACCCTGATTCCAAACTTTGGGCACCACAGGCAACCACGCGCGGGAACCGGAAACCGTCCGAGGCCTGAAGGCTGAACTCACGCAAATGGGTACTCCAAGAATGCAGACCCGGCGCTTCACACGAGCCTTGCGGTTTGCCCGGTGGTTGTAAAAAACCCATCTCCGAACCTACTCCCCCCGAACCCTCTGAACCAGCGTTTCTTATGACCGCAGCCGTGCCTTGACAGTTGAGAATCTGAAAGTCGCAGTGATTCCATGGCATGCAAGGCCACTGCCTTTTTGCACTGCCCACATAGCCGAGCTCTCGAATAAACAGTGCCGAGCCGAACGGCCTCTGTTCGATCTTGCCTGAGCCGAAGCACAATAGACTGTTACGTGCCCTCTACACACTAAACTAGACGCCGAACATCGTGCATGCTGTTTCCATACTCCACCTACCCCCAAATGCCCCTACAGTCGAGTCACAAAAGTACTCTTCGCCATCTGCGACGGTCTCGGTCGCCCAAAAGGTAAACATCTGGCGAGAAAAACTGAAATCAGCGGGCATCGGTGGCTCCTTCGGACATTGACCCCAGGCACCTTGGGTATCTGGATCGAAGGCTCTTGAAAAATGGACCAACGACAGTCCTTCACACATAGTGCCCAGTCTGCCTTAAACCCGGGGGTCCTAGAACACATCATTCGCACATGACCACCTAGCAAGACCTCTCATGATGGCGTAGCCTTCTGCAGCAATCAGAAGTAGGTAGATTTGCCAGCGGCCAGGAAGCGAATGGAAACCAGCAGCCATGGCTTTCGCAACAGCGCAAGCAAATTGTGAAGTATTTTCTCGACATGCTTGCAGCTTGGTGGCATAGTCCAGGCTGGATTTCAGACACTTCAATTCATGCACCAGGTGCAGCTCGCAACCAGCTGATATCGTGACGAGACACATGTACCGCTACTTCCTCTCAAGTAACAGAGCCTCTGTATCATACGGGCTGCAGACAAGCTGTGTCCAAGTGCACTGTTGCGATCTGTTGCGTGAGCCATCCTCCAGCACGCGGGCATCAAGCTGGGATTGCTCGTAGGCCAGAACTTGATCCTGGCACCAGAACCAAGATCGAAACGGAGCAAGTTCAGAAGAAGCCGAACCAGACATGGAAACCGCACAGCTTCACAACTCGTAGCTCCGTGGTGAGCGCATTGGGCGGTTAAAGTCCCGTGAACCAGCCCCTAGCAACTTAATTAGCACAACTGCACATCTCGGTGGTCTCCATTCGGCCTTTTCCTCAAGCAGGTCCAGCAGCTTCTGCTTTTCCTGCGGCGGAATTTGACGTCACAATTAATCGGACAGCAAAAACGGGCTTCTGCCCACGCATTTGCGGTCACTTGAGCCCACATGGTTTCGGGTCACTTGCGCCCACGTACTCCGTCACTTGTGCCCACGTTTTTGGGGACGCGGGGGGGAGGGGGGAGGGGGGGGGGGGGAGGGGGGGGGGAGGTGTGCAGCTTAAATAGGGTCTATCTGGAAGCTGGGAATCGTATTTACAAGAGGAAAACAGGCCCCAAAACGTATACTTATTCACAAGAGCCATGTTCCAAATAGACCCTATTTTAGGTCCTGTAGGGTTGCACAGACAGAATTTAATTCATTAAATTCCTTAATTTCCACTTTCCCCCTGGAATTTAATGAATTTAATAAATTAATTCAATTAATTCATTTATTTCCAAAGGGGGGGGTGGAATTAATTGAGTTAGTTGAATTAATTGAATTAATTGAATTAATTGAATTAATTGAACCCCCCCCCTTTGGAAATAAATGAATTAATTGAATTAATTGAATTAATTGAATTAATTGAATTAATTGAATTAATTGAATTAATTGGAATTTATTCAATTAATTCAATTAATTCCACCTCCCCTTTGGAAATAAATGAATTAATTGAATTGATTGAATTAGTTGAATTATTTCGATTAATTCAATTAATTCAATTAATTCATTTATTTCCAAATGGGGGGGATTCCCCAGCCCCCACCCCTCCCCCCGTGTGCAGCTTAAATAGGGTCTATTTGGAAGCTGGGAATCGTATTTACAAGAGGAAAACAGGCCCCAAAACGTATACTTATTCACAAGAGCCATGTTCCAAATAGACCCTATTTTAGGTCCTGTAGGGTTGCACAGACAGAATGTAATTCATTAACTTCCTTAATTTCCACTTTCCCCCTGGAATTTAATGAATTTAATCAATTAATTCAATTAATTCATTTATTTCCAAAGGGGGGGGGGTGGAATTAATTGAGTTAGTTGAATTAATTGAATTAATTGAATTACTTGAATTAATTGAATTAATTGAATTAATTGAATTAATTGAACCCCCCCCTTTGGAAATAAATGAATTAATTGAATTAATTGAATTAATTGAATTAATTGAATTAATTGAATTAATTGAATTAATTAAATTAATTGGAATTAATTCAATTAATTCAATTAATTCCACCTCCCCTTTGGAAATATGAATGAATTAATTGAATTAATTGAATTAGTTGAATTTTTTCGATTAATTCAATTAATTCAATTAATTCATTTATTTCCAAATGGGGGGGATTCCCCAGCCCCCACCCCTCCCCCCCCTTTGGAAATAAATGAATTAATTGAATTAATTCAATTAATTCAATTAATTCAATTAATTCAATTAATTCAATTTCATTTCCCCAAAATACATTGAATTAATTGAATTAATTCAATTATTCAATTAATTCAATTAATTCAATTATTCAATTCTTAATTATTTAATGGGGGGGATTCCCCAGACCCCACCCCCCCAGCTCGATTTGGCCAAATTTTGCCCGGAGGCTGCCCGGCAAAATTTGGCCAAATCGAGCCGCGCCTTTCTGCCCGGCAAAATTTGGCCAAATCGAGCCGCGCCTTTCTGGAGGCCCGAAATTATTTAAACTATCGCGGCTCGATTTGGCCAAATTTTGCCGGGCAGCCTCCGGGCAAAATTTGGCCAAATCGAGCCACGCATTTCTCATCGCATACGAAGGGCAGCCCGATTTGGCCAATTTTTGCCCGGAAGCTGCCCGGCAAAATTTGGCCAAATCGAGCCGCGATAGTTTAAAAATTTCGGGCCTTCAGAAAGGCGCGGCTCGATTTGGCCAAATTTTGCCCGGAGGCTTCCCGGCAAAATTTGGCCAAATCGAGCCGCGCATTTCTCATCGCGTTCGACGAGCAGCCCGATTTGGCCAAATTTTGCCCGCAGACTGCCCGGCAAAATCTGGCCAAATCGAGCCGCGCCTTTCTGGAGGCCCGAAATTATTTCAACTATCGCGGCTCGGTTTGGCCAAATTTTGCCGGGAAGTCTGCGGGCAAAATTTGGCCAAATCGGGCTGCTCGTCGTACGCGCTGAGAAATGCGCGGCTCGGTTTGGCCAAATTTTGCCGGGCAGCCTCCGGGCAAAATTTGGCCAAATCGAGCCGCGCATTTCTCATGGCATACGAAGAGCAGCCCGATTTGGCCAAATTTTGCCCGCAGGCTGCCCGTCAAAATTTGGCCAAATCGAGCCGCGATAGTTTAAATAATTTCGTTCAATTAGTTCATTCATTTCCAAATGGGGGGGATTCCCCAGCCCCCACCCCCCCCTTTGGAAATAAATGAATTAATTGAATTAATTGAATTAATTGAATTAATTTAATTAATTGAATTAATTCAACTAATTCAATTAATTCATTTATTTCCAAAGGGGGGGGGTGGAATTAATTGAATTAATTGAATTAATTGAATTAATTGAATTAATTGAATTAATTGAATTGATTCAATTAATTGAATTAATTGAATTAATTGAAATAATTCAATTAATTCAACTAATTCATTTATTTCCAAAGGGGGGGGTGGAAATAATTGAATTAATTGAATTAATTGAATTGATTCAATTAATTCAATGAATTCAATTAATTCAAATAATTCAATTAATTCAATTAATTCAATTAATTCAATTAATTCAATTATTTCCAAATGGGGGGATTCCCCAGCCCCCACCCCTCCCCCCCCTTTGGAAATAAATGAATTAATTGAATTAATTGAATTAATTGAAATAATTGAATTAATTCAACTAATTCAATTAATTCCACCTCCCCTTTGGAAATAAATGAATTAAATGAATTAATTGAAATTCAATTAATTCAATTAATTCAATTAATTTAATTAATTCAATTAATTCAATAGGGGGGGGGGGTGGGGGCTGGGGAATCCCCCCCATTTGGAAATAAATGAATTAATTGAATTAATTGAATTAATTGAAATAATTGAATTAATTCAATTAATTCAATTAATTCAATTAATTCCACCTCCCCTTTGGAAATAAATGAATTAATTGAATTAATTGAATGAATTGAATTAATTGAATTAATTCAATTAATTCAATTAATTGAATTAATTCATTTATTTCCAAAGGGGGGGGTGGGGGCTGGGGAATCCCCCCCATTTGGAAATAAATGAATTACTTGAATTAATTGAAATAATTGAATTAATTCAATTAATTCAATTAATTCCACCTCCCCTTTGGAAATAAATCAATTAATTGAATTAATTGAATTAATTCAATTATTTCAATTAATTCAAGTAATTCATTTATTTCCAAATGGGGGGTGGGGGCTGGGGCATCCTCCTCCCCCCAATACTAACCCACGAGCCCGGGCCTCCCCCCAATACTAAATCACGAGCCCGGGCCTCCCCCCAATACTAAATTACGAGCCCGGGCCTTCCCGCAATACTAAATCACGAGCCCGGGCCTCCCCCCAATACTAAATCACGAGCCCGGGCTAAATCACGAGCCCGGGCCTCCAAATTACGAGGCCGGGCCTCCCCCCAATACTAAATCACGAGCCCGGCCCTCCCCCAATACTAAATCACGAGCCCGGGCCTCCCCCCAATACTAATTTACGAGCCCGGGCCTCCTCCCAATACTAAATCACGAGCCCTCCTCCCCCCAATACTAGGGCACAGTTTTTGCTCCAAAAAGTGACATCGCTAAGATTTTGAGCTCATTTCTTGCCCCAAAGAGTAACATCGCAAGCCCTGGTCCCTAAGATTTTGGGCTCATTTCTTGCCCCAAAGAGTAACATCGCAAGCCCTGGCCCCTATTATTTGGGGCCCAGTTTTTGCTCCAAAGAGTCAAATCGCAAGCCCTGGTCCCTAAGATTTTGGACTCAGTTTTTTGCTCCAAAGCAAGCCCTGGTCCTTAAGATTTTGGGCTCATTTCTTGCTCCGAAGAGTCAAATCGCTAGCCCTGGTCCCGAAGATTTCGGGTTCAATTTTTGCTCCACAGAGTCAAACCGCAAGCCCTGGTCCCTAAGATTTGGGGCACAGTTTTTGCTCCAAAGGGTCAAATCGCAAGCCCTGCTCCCTAAGATTTTGGGCTCATTTCTTGCCCAAAAGAGTGACATCGCAAGCCCTGGTCCCTAAGATCTTGGGCCCAGGTGCTCCAAAGAGTCAAATCGCAAGCCCTGGTCCCTAAGATTTTGGGCCCAGTTTTTGCTCCAAAGGGTCAAATCGCAAGCCCTGGTCCCTAAGATTTTGGGTTCAATCTTTGCTCCAAAGAGTCGCAAGCCCTGGTCCCTAAGATTTGGGGCCCAGTTTTTGCTCCGAAGAGTCAAATCGCAAGCCCTGGTCCCTAAGATTTTGGGTTCAATTTTTGCTCCAAAGAGTGACATCGCAAGCTCTGGTCCCTAAGATTGGGCCCAGTTTTTGCTCCAAAGAGTGACATCGCAAGTCCTGGTCCCTAAGATTTTGGGTTCAATTTTTGCTCCAAAGAGTGACATCGCAAGCCCTGGTCCCTAAGATTTGGGGCCCAGTTTTTGCTCCAAAAGAGTAACATCGCAAGCCCTGGTCCCTAAGATTTTGGGCCCAGTTTTTGCTCCAAAGAGTCAAATCGCAAGCCCTGGTCCCTAAGATTTGGGGCCCAGTTTTTGCTCCAAAGAGTGACATCGCAAGTCCTGGTCCCTAAGATTTTGGGTTCAATTTTTGCTCCAAAGAGTGACATCGCAAGCCCTGGTCCCTAAGTTGTCGGGGTCGATTTGTGCTCCACAGAGTCAAATCGCAAGCCCTGGTCCCTAAGATCTTGGGCCCAGTTTTTGCTCCGAAGAGTCAAATCGCAAGCCCTGGTCCCTAAGATTTTGGGTTCAATTTTTGCTCCAAAGAGTCAAATCGCAAGCCCTGGTCCCTAAGATTTGGGGCCCAGTTTTTGCGCCAAAGAGTCAAATCGCAAGCCCTGGCCCCTAAGATTTTGGGTTCATTTTTTGCTCCAAAGAGTGACATCGCAA